CCGAGCTCGAATTTGAGCTAAGTGAGTGTTTCGGATTATGCCCAAAAATGATAATCAAATTGAAAATGGAGATTTGATTGCTTTGAGTGGAAATTGCATGAAATTGGTGTTAGATTTGGATTCCTGATGTTCTAGGGATCATTTTTATGTATAACTTGTTGAGTTTGGTGCAAAAATTGGAAACCCGAAGTTCCTGGTGCGCCTAGACCGAACGTTCCAGGCATGGACCGTCCGTTCTAGGGTTCGCAGGGTTTCGGGGGAAGAAGACGAGTCCAGACCGTCCGCTCTGGACATGGACCGTCCGTTCTGTACCCAGAACGTCCGTTCCACCTTTCGCGGAACGTCCGTTCCAGCTTCGGCCAGACCGAAGGGACCAAGCCACGTCCCCCTAGCCCGTCCGGTCCAGGTCGAGACCGTCCGGTCTAGGGTTGCAGGTTCGCGAGGAAGAAGACGAACTCAGACTGTCCGGTCTAAGTCGCCAGACCGTCCGGTCCAGTGCCCTCGGTCCGTCTGTTCTGAGTTTTTCGGAACGTCCGTTCCGGACCCTGCAGACCGTCCGGTCCAGGCAAGTAGACCGTCCGGTCCAGACCCTGTTTCTCCTTCCCGGTCCGTTTCGTCGGCTCGGGCGAGATCCGACGCAACCGACCCCTGTACCCAATCAATCTTGACTCGTTTCCCACCCGAACCTCATGAAACTTGAATGAAACCGACTTACGGTAAGTAAAACCTTCGGAACGAGCTGAATTGGTAATCCGGAATGGTCGGACCCAATTTGATCGGATCGGAGGATAAACAGAATAAAATGAATGTAAAGGAAATGAGATAACCAAAATAACAAGTAAGGACGTGTGTATACCCGAGTAGGTATAATAATATATGAATGTGTGTGATTGGGGAACCGGGTAGTTGGCATGGCGTGAGACTTTATTCCCGAGGGCCGGGATAAGGTTGAGCGTGTGATTGTAGCGGGTTTGAGGTGATATCCCGATGGTTGCATTGTTGGGATCTCCTCTTTATGATCTCTGACCCGGGTCGGGTTTCATATTGAGGAG